TGATGTTTTTATAAAAATGTCCATCCACTCCAAAGATGATTAAGTAGCATGAAAAGCTAACACGGTTGTATAAGAATGGCTTGAAGCAGCATATTATAAAAATTCCACTTTTGGTCTGATTCTATGTTACAGTATCGGACCAACAGTGGACTCCACGGGGTCCATGCTGTTAACCTTCCCGTGGTGACCCTGCTAAAACATCCTCCAATGTTAACTGATAACAGCAAAAAGGAGTCCATCAACGTTGCGATATTAGTCGCTATAAAGCAGCTACTTTTTAATCTCCTCACTATCAGGTTAAATGTGACAAATATATGTATTATTGTCCATATATGGTTATAATGATGTCGTATCATACCTAAAAAGGAAATAGAAAACAAATGGAATAGAAAATGTATAGAAAAGAAATAGAATAGGAAAGAAAAGAATGAGAAAAAAAGAGGAAAAAATGGATAGAAAGACAAAAAAGGAAGAAAAAAATGAAAAGTAAAGGCAGAAGAAATGGCAAAGAAAGGAAGTAGAAAAAGAAAAGAAAATAAGAGAACAGGAACTATGAATGGAAAAGCAAAGGAAAGAAATAATGAAAAGGAAAAGTTATAGTAGAATTTAAAGGTAAAGATATGTGGCAAAGACAACCCAAAACAGTCACTTGTCGCAAATCGTATTTCATAGGAAATGGCCAAAACATGCTGGAATGTCAATTTTTTTTAAATCTATTTTATTGCACTAAACTAACCTTTATATATCTATACATCATGCTATGCTGTTATTTTCCCCATTTTCAATGTTAAAACAACACTTTTTAAGAATTTGATGATAGTGTCTGCATGAGAGATGCCCGAAGTCATAAATTTTGAAGGCTGATTTCTCATATATTGTTTTTTTTAACAGCTGTATGTTTAAACATGAGGAAATGTCAAATTTGAATGCTTTTTTACCCTTGTATAGCTCTTGTTTTACTCTTTAACCCTGTATTAATTACTCAATATCGATTTTTGCGACGAGTGACTGGTTCGGCTTGTCTTTGCTACATGTAGAAAAGGTAGTGAAATATAAATGGATTAGCAAATGTAATAAAAGTAGCCTACAGTAACTTTTTAATTTTTGACTAGGCAAAACTTTGTCAAATTAACTATCATTAAAATAGAAAGAAAAGAAAAGCCAAGAAAAATGTAAAAAGTAAAGGAAATTGAAAAGGAAGGAAATAAGAAAAGGAAAGGAATTGAAAGTAAAAGAAATGAAATAAATAGAAAGAGAAATGTGATTTAAAAAATGAAATTCAATAATAGAATAGACATAGAAAAAGTAATGACATAAAAATGCATTAGTGAATGTAAGGAAACTAATGTNNNCAGATATCATAGATATCATAGATATATATATATATAGATATATGAATATATATATACACATATATATATGTGCCTATATATATATATGCCTATATATATATTTATATAAATAAATAAATAAATGTACAGTATATGGACAAATCACAGATATTTCTCACAAAAATATTGATAGTGTGTACGGAGCTTAGTTCCTTTGGTTTCCCACATGCTATTATGAGTTTGGAATTGATTACACTGTGGCACGTAAGCATGGATGAGGAAAGAGGATTTATCTATACCCCTGCCCCCGGTATTTAACCGGCAGGCCAACACCGGCCAGCCAAATATTTTGATCCGGCCCGAGTGACATTGCTAAAAGATGTCATTTTTTCCGGCCGATTTTTAGAAAAAGTTTTTCTGTTAATAGAAACACAACCTACTATAGAATTGTTAACAAGTGTCTGGCTTTTTCTGAGTGTGAGGTAGCTCACTGTATCTAGTGACGTAGAGTATTAACATGGGGAGAGGGGAGGCTAATAGGGAATAATGGATAAAGTAGGGTCGCTGATGTGATGTATAACCATTTGCGGTGCCAGTGTTGAAAAAAACTGCTTCAAAAACTTAATTTTACAGTCAGAAAATGCCATTTCCAGGAATCTAGAGGTGTTATTGCTCACCTCATCCCCAACCATGGGGGGAGGGGGTTGGGTTTGAGATTATGCGGGCCCTTTTCGGAATTAGACTCCTCGTAGGGGAATTTCTAGAGCTGGCATTGGTTTCAACTTCTTAGAGCATGAGTGGATTTTTTTGTACTAGGAAAATTTCTAGTCTGGAGTGCCAAGTTGTTTTTTTTTCTTTTTGTGAAAATTATAAAATCTTAAATTATTTTAAGATTTAAGTTCCATTTTCGACCATCTAGAGGTGCCATTATCATAAATTTTCTTACTCCAGTGCCAGCCATGGTGGGGCTGAGGTGGTATTTTACCCCTATCTGTCCTTCCCTGGCTCCTTCTATTTCAAATCCACTGCTATAAAGGAGAATAGAAGGGGCTGACATTGAAAAAATGAAAGTACATAATTTATGCTGGCCCGCTGCTGTTCTCAACAAATTGGAACTGGCTACCAGCTTGAAAAGGTTGAATATCCGGGATCTATACTATTCTGTCTTTAAACAGTCCATGAAGTAATTCAAAAAGATATATAAAGAGGCGTATTACTGATTATTAGGAATAACAGCGTGAAATTTGATGATCATTTCTAGATCACAGAGAAAGAACAGAAAAGCTTTGATTTTACTGTAGATAAAACAAGCTAGAAATAAAAGAAGGCAGTGACTATTGTTGCCCCAATCTTAAACCAATCCCTAATTCAGATGCAATACATACTAGCCTGGTTACTCACTCTTTATTGCGCCTATTGTGCGCCATACTTATTTTAATTGGTGTCCCATTCTCGATTTCTCTAAATTAAATTTCTCGTTGGTGGCGCTGTCCAGAATGAGAAAAAGAAATAATAAGGGACTAATTAACATTCAACAGATTTAGGAATTGATTGGTGTAACAGTAGTCATTGCCAATAAATAAAAGATTTAATATATAGATTTGGATTATTTTTTATAATTCCAAGTAAAAATGTAACATATTTTCAGTGATGTTTTACCACTATCCTAGTGGTTTCATCAGACTATCAACCCATATGATTCTACTTGAAATTATCAAAACAGAATCCCAGTCTATAGTCTTATCATCATTACAAGAAATTTTAGTTTGTCTTGATCTGCTCCGTGCTCAGCTATGCAGTTTGTGCCCTTGATTTACCTCACAAATATAAGGCGTTCTCATGAATTTGTAAGCTAAGAAAACAATCGATTAACATAATTATATTGGTCAACAATAATTGCTTGAATGGGATGAAAGCAGCTATTTGTACTCCTTATGTTAGCCTGAACATTGCTTTTCGTATCCCCTTTAATTAGTTGATCAGTTGTTGATTTATGCCAAATTGAAAAAAGATTATTGTGTTGGCCACGCCGAACCGACTAAAAATGTTCGAAATTGACGAAAAATATTTTTTAATGAGCTAAAAGCTGGAACAATAGGCTTATCTTTCAACAGTATGCGATGCAACAGTGTTGTGTGATCGTTTTGCTCTACAATATAGATATAAAAAATAATGGTCTTTGTTATATTTTTGTGTATTTTCTACTTTTTAGGCATAAACACAAAAATAAAAAAATAACAACCAAAAACAAAACAAAAAATTATTTTTCTACCGACCTACCTATTTCTTGGATTTTCCCAAACGTGGCCAACACAAGAATTTTTTTTTAGTTTTGGCCTTGTAAGGCATTTCTAGCAAGCCACACATGATGTTTTAGGGCGGTTAAATTAAGGAACTGGCTATTGTTACTCTAAGGCCATGTAAAAAAAAAAGTTGATTGTCCCCTCCCTACTTTAAAAAATCACCTGACCAACATTTTTTCCTCCAAAAAATATTGTCTGCGAACCTATCAATTTTTTTTCCACCATTTACACGAGGCATTGCACTCCATGGGGGGGGGGATATTTGAAGACTTGTCATGTCTGAATCGAGTGGTTTCGTTACTGATTAAAAAAAAAAATCCTCCCTCCCTACCGACTTACAAGGGTGCAGAACAGGGCTCGTACCTGGGCCACCAAAATTAGGCTGGACAAAAAATATATGTGGTGGTCCATATCTCAAAGATATTGATGAAGTTGTTTTTTTTCCCCCTTTATTTATTTAGTATAACAAAGAACCTCCAAGCTGGAAAAGGGCACCATTTTCATTCTTGCACCCACGATTTTTCACCAGACTTGAAACAATGCCTCCGATTGGATGTTGTTGTCCTTATCATATATATATATATATAAAATGCAAAAGCAATGAAAAAACAGTGTACAATCATTGAAAGTTGAATTGCGGAACACAAATTTATTAAGGTATAACAAAATCAAACGGATATTTCGATAGCTCCTGCTATCTTTATCAACGTTAAAGAATTTTAACGTATTAACTTTTATTAACATTGATAAAGATAGCAGGAGCTATCGAAATATCCGTTTGGTTTTGTTATACCTTCATAAATTTGTGTTCTGCAAGTAAACCTTTAATGATTGTA